TTATGGTTTGGTTTTTTAACATTACTGCCTGGAAATTTTAAAAAATGAACAGAAATTCTATTAAGTACTGAGAGACTTGTGGGAAATGGGTAATAATAAAAAATTATAATGGAATAATTTATGAATGACACAGATGACAAAATTGGCTACTAAGAGGAGCTTATCAACTCTTCTACAAACCTTTTGTCTAATTCTGCAATGGCTTTAGGTACCTATGTGGATTAAGGGGAAATGGAGATGTTGGGAAATAACTAAAGCAAAAGTTAGACCTCTAGTTGGGTCAGTGCCGTAATTTCAATATTTTAATTTCCCAAGGAAGAAGGGTTTCAAAAGATACAGCACACCCTTTGCCAATCACCATCATGCATCCATCCTCTTCCCCAATCGCATCACCATCTTTTCAAAAAAATTCCAAGTCTAAATATCCTATTTTAATGTCTTTTAATGGCTTCAGTAAAGAATCATTAAAATGTCTCTAAATTTGGCAGTCCAAACAAATCTCAAGTCATACTAACCCAAATGTTTCTTAAGCTCAAGTTCCATAAACTTTTCACTCTTTACTTAAACCCTCAACATCCATTTTTCACAGTGGGAATCAACGAACTTTACAGAACTTTACGACTTCTATTTTCAGTACTAGGCTAACTGATTCGCCCCTCCCTCCCCCAAGCAGGTCATAATATCCTCATTATTGCTAACAAATAAAGTTGAGAAATCATATTGAGGTTAGCTTAAGTAAAAGATAGCCAGAAATTATACAAAGTAATAGAAGCGTGGTTAATTTAAATCCACCAATGATTTTAAGAACCACATTATAATAAATTATAAATTGTTTTCATCTCTACCATCCAATTAAATTTTTTTAAAATCATGTTTAAGGGCACAAACTTGCAACTAGTAGATAAGTAATTCCTGGAGATCTAAAACACAGTACAGTGAATATAGACAGCAATACTGTATAGCAATCATCAAACTTATTTTATTCCAACAACACACACAAAAAAGATGATCATGTGACATGACAGAGATGCTATCACGACAATGGCAATCATATTGCAATATATAAATATCAAATCTACATGCTGTACAACTTAAGTTTAAACAATGTGTCCAATATACTTCAAATGTTTAAAGAAATTCACAGATAAAGGTGCATTTTAGATTTGAATGGGAAGTGTAACCTGTTTGTCCCTATGAGCCATTTCTGAAAGTGCTAATGAAAAATAGCATGGTCTATAGATGGGTAAGATCAAGGAGAAAGAGGACAGAAAAGATGTCATCTACAACTAAGCAGCCCCCAGAAGGAGGTGGATATGAATGCAAGGTTTTGGTATCTCATTTACAAATTTAAATTTAAAACGGAGTAAATGGACTCACATGCACTTCTTGGTACCCAACATAATACTAAAAGGTGGGGTAGGGGGAGAAGACATTGGTCTTATTAAGAGGATATGGAATGAAAGACAAGAGGCAAAACGTCTTTTGCTCTAAACCATCTACCAACCTTCCTATCAAAATTCCTCTGCCAGGCAAGTGTTTTCTTTCCCTCTTATTTATGTACCATCTTACGTGAGGAAGAACTCAACAACTCCAGTGTCTTTGGAATTTATTAAGCCAGCCCTAAAAATAAAAGTATTCTTGGTCTTTTTGCAGATATAAGCTACACTAGAAACTTAGTGTATCTGAATTTTCATTAACAGCAAACCACTTTGAATGAAGAAGCACCTTTTTAAGTCAGCAAGCGTCACACACCTCTCAAGAAACTCCCAAGTACCGTGATAGCCATCCTTTGGCCGGCAAGCTCTCTGCTCTTCAAAAAGGAAAAAGAAAAACCCAAACGTGCCAGGAATTGACACACTCCACAAACTTTAGAGACAAGGCAGTCTTCCCGCCCTCAAAAATACAGGGCCCGTCCCCCCAGGACTAAGGGACATGCCCCCTGCCCCTAAGGCGCGCTCTCCTCTATGCCCGTGGCTTCCCACCACCTTCCCCCTAATGAGAAAGTGCTTCCATGGCGCCCCCCAAAGTTTCCAAGAGCAGCAGCCCCAGCCGCACTGGAGCCCAAAGGCTGCGAGAAGGGGCCGGAACCGCAGCGTGTCCATTCCAATCCCCCTCGGAGCCCCTCGCGTGTTTTTTAAAAATCGCACGTCGCGAGCGTGTCCCCGCCGACACGCTCGATGCCCCGACGGCTCTGGGACAGCCAGAGGCTGGCAGTGAACTCAGCGACTAACGAGCACCCATCCCCGCGCCGCCCCAACACCCTCCGCCCCCCAGGGGCAGGGGCACCGAGCCCAGAGGCACGCAGGGGGCCCCCTCGCCCCAGGCACCCTCCTCCCCCACTGTCTGTAAATTCCAAAACACACCCAGAAAATCTCCGCCGGCGGGAGGGTCGCTAAGCAATCGGCGGGTCGCTTCCCAGGGACCTCGGAGACCCGCACCCTGAAACTCGAGATGATGTGGGGGTGTGACCCGGGCTGCGCCCCTCCTCCCCCGCCCCCCGGGAAAATCCCGCGCGGACGAGGCGACTCACCAGACCAGGGAACACAGAGAGAGGCAAGAGACCAGGGCCAAGGCCCGCCGGTACTTCTTCATCTTCTCCTCCTTCTTCCCCCGGCCAGAAGGCGGCACATCCTCCCTGCAGCCGCTACTGCCGAGGCCAAGATGGAGGAGCCGGAGCGCGAGGA